CTGGCCTGCTCCTCCCTGTGCTGTGCACAGTTGTGACTCTGGGCCCAGACACCTTTGCCCTCCCAGGACAGCCCCCTTTTTCCCCTTTTTCTTGTATCTTTCTTCCATGATGTTGATCTCAAAATGGGCCTAGTGTTCCAGAGCTAGGAAGTCTAGACTCACTCTAATCAGGAGTCTAACCCTAATCAGGAGTCTAATCAGGAGGTGCACATCTTACTTCCTGGGGTGTTGCCTCTGTCCCAGGCACCATGCCCGCAGCTGGCGAGTCTGACAGGGGAGCATACATGATTGTTCTAAGAACACAATTTAAAACAAAATAAAATGCCTCCCTTCCATTCCATCTAGTCATCTGTCCATTCATCCCATTCATCCACCTGTTCGTTCACTCAGAAGCCATTTAGTGAGGATAGCACAGACATAAACTAGAGGATGAAGGAAAATTCTCAGCATGCCATCAGCTAAGCCACAAAACAACGTAGTGTCTTCATAAAGAAATGTCTAACTGTCCCTGGTGGTTCAGGAAGTGCTCACAGGTGACACTATTTGGAAAACTCTGACAGATGCAAAAGGACCCCAGAGCAGCTCACTCCATGCCAAAGACCCCGCTGGGCCCAGGCATGAAGAGATGAGGGGTCGTGGTGTGATCCATATGCTGTCTCATGGTTTATGTGATGGGGATGGAGGAGGCAAACTCCAGGCAAACAAGTGTATCCCATGAAGGGCCTGGAGTGCCAGCCCAAGGAATTTGGACTGTGTGCATCGGAGAAAGAGCCCCTAACCCTAAGGGTCACTATCTCCACATGAACATTAGACTGAATGGTGCTTGTGGCCTTCCCCTCGGCCCTGCCCATTCCCACCTGTGTCCCTGCTCTCCCTCAGCTGCCCTCAGCTCCCTGCCCCCAGCTTCTCTAGCCGAGGGTTCAGTCCATGCATTTCAGGCCTTGCGTCCAGACTTGTGCAGCAATCAGTGCTGTCAGCAGTGTTCTTCCATTTTGGAGATAATTTGTGCAAGTTGCAATTTTGACATTAACAAGTGTATACAATAGAACTGGTTGTTTAAATGGTTTTTTGTAGTCGTGTGCAAATTGGACTCCAGCACAATGACTTGTGTTCTCTGCCAATTATCTGCGTTACCATCAGTCCCAGGAAAAAGGTAGAAGCAAGCGGCATAAAATGACGACATACCCACTCCTTTCTTTCGCTTCACTTTTGCAGAAATATTGTTTGAAGGACCCAGAAGACTTCACTTTCAGCACTTAGCATCTAGCAAATAATTCGGTCCTCACTAGATCCTGAAGAGATTGGTCATTTACCTTTCTTTCATTTACAGAGCAGGAAACTGAGGCAGAGAGTAGTGAGGTAATATGCTCACCCAAATGATGCAGGAGGGAGCTCAATTTGAGTTTCCGGTGTTTGGGTACTGCTTTTCCCATAGCACAGCTTGCCAGTGGGCCCAGTTCAAAACGTGCCTTCTGGCACGTGGCTATCCCCAGGAAATAGGTGTAGCCAGGGCGGCCTTTCCTCAGCGCTTGCATCAGACCTTGGTGACACCAGCCTCACCGATGTGTCCATCCGTGGAGGAATTCTGCCTTAGCTGCTAGGACCTGATGGCTTTGGTTGCAAACTCACTATTTGCTGTTTATGTGGTCTGAGACTCACTTTCCCCATCTGTATTTGTGTACATTTTTTTTCCAGATCAAATAGTGTATAATTCTGTAAATTTGTAAAAAGAGTTGAAAATTCTCTATTTCTCCTGGTCCCTTCCAAGTTGAAAATGGCATTTATTTTTTCATAGAGAATGGAAATACTTGCAAGGAAGTAAGGACATCACTAAGCACGGTGGAGGGAACTTGTGTCCTCAGGGGAAGTTCAGTAAAGGTTTGATGGATGAAAACATCCTCTAAAACAGGTTGGCAAAGTACAGACCATGGGGTTTATGTTCCTAAGTGGTTAAGTTTTTTAAAAGGAAAATAAAATGAATATTATCATGAATATGATGAATAACATGAGTAAATCTGGTTTCAAGTTTCACTGTGTATAGATCAAGCTTTCTGGGAAGCTAGCCCCGATTCTTTTACCTATTACCAGTGACTCCTTTCAGTCAACTTGGCCAGGCTCGGCAGTTAACCATGGAGACTGCAACCCACCCCCACCCCCAAAGCCTAAGATATTTGCTAGCTAGCCCTTGACATGCAAAGGTTGCCAACCCCAGCTCTGAGATCTGGACTCAGAGCATCCTCTAATTGTTGGGTATTTATCAAAGTTTTTACTTAAAATACTTTGTGGCATCAGTTTGGCATCATATCCTACTATTAACTTTATGTATTATGATGCCAAGGAAAGAAATGCACATGTCAGAGGCAGGCATTTGTGAAAATGTACTTTGTACATCGACAATAATTGCATAAACATTGCAGATTCCTGCCATGTCCAAGCTTTTCAGTAGGATTTGGGTATGTAGGTAAAATCACCTGGGCAGTGTTCAAATGTTTCCTTTGTTTGGATTCCTGGTTTGGAAACATCTTATTCAGACTACCACTAAGAACTATATCAAGAAGATGTAGCACCAATTACTTACTCTAATTCGATCAATAACATGGCCCTCCGATTGGCTTCATGCATCACTGCCTGGGTGCCCAGACACCTGTTATGTCGGAAGTCAGAGCACTTGGATGAAGCTTAATAGCTCAGGCCAAGTTTTCAGAGCACTACAAAGACTGATTGCGTCTTCCAGGAATTTAGCTATTTTGCTTATTTGACTTTAGAACTTTTTTTTTATTCCTCACATTATGCACATGTATGCCCTATACATTTGTAATAAAATCTCTTTTAAAAGATAACAGGTAGGAAAACTACTAGATGGTTTAGTACATACAAATGGTTAACTGCTCATTTATTTGGCACCCTGGGAAATACGATGTTCTGGATAATGGAAATTCTTGAGTAACTAAAGGTTATCCTTCCATAGGAATCATTTTAAAATAATTAATATTTTCCTGACCTCTTATAAGGGTTATACTGAAAATGCTTCAGTCTTTCTTGGTGACTTAGACGTTACTGTGAGCACCAGCTGTTGCAATGTGCCGGAGGTTGCACTATGCTGCCATTGCGCCCACAGGGGCTATTGAGATGGGGAGGCGTGCTTGCCTACATACTAAATGGTCAGAGTCTCGTGCTTTTTAACTGCTGGCTTCCTTTAGCATCTTCTTTGACACCCAGTGCTGTAGGTTTCATGCCTCAGTGTTCCTAGTGGCTTTGCCTCTGCGAGTGTTTCCCCTCACATGACATCTAGGGTTTTGCTAAGGGGTGGAAATCAAATGGTGGTGCTTGTTAGCATCCTTTGTCAAAGATCAGTTCTCACAGAAACAGTAATTCAAAGGGATACACACGTCCTGATTATCAATCACTGCAACAGTATGTACAGCAGCCAAGTTATGGGAACAACATATGTGCCCAAGGACAGAGGGGTGGACTGGGAGGAACCAGTCTAGGTGCACAGTGGACTACTACGCAGTAGTGGAAAAGCCATGAACTCTTGCTACTTGTGACAACATCGAGGGAACTGGAAGGGATGATGCTGAGTGCAGTCAGTAAGAAGGAGAAAGATAAATATTCGATGAGTTCACTCTTTCATGTAAATGCTAAAGACATAAAAAATGAATAAACTCACATTTTACTAACAAAATGGTGGTGATCAGATGGGAAGGAGAAGGGAGTGGATTAATTGGGTGAAATGACTCAGTTCTACAGTGGTGGATGGAAACTAGTCTTTTGCTGGTGATACAGTAGCTACAGATGTTGGTTTATAGTAGTGTACACCTGGACCCCACAGAAAGTTATCAACCAGTGTTACTTCTATCAATTTTTAGCTGTCACTTCTCTATCAGTGATGCCACACCGACTCGTGCACCGCCAACTGTGTGGGCTTTCTGATCATTGTTGAGTTGAGAGGCCTATCCCATCTCTTGTGTTTTTGGTCCCCTTTTGGGGTGATCTTACAATATGTCTCTTGGGCAACAAAGCTCACTTTCAATTAAAGCGGTGTTATCATTCTTGCTTATTTCTTTGAAAAATAATTATGCTGTGGCACTATTTTTTTTTCTTTCTTTATAGAGTGGCACCATTTGGCTTAAAAAGCAGACTATTTGCAGCAGTGATTGATAGAATTAATTCTTGGGTTTACTTGAATTTATTGCCTCCCACTTGGGAATAATTGGTTTGGGGCCAACCTTCTCTCTGCCATATGCACGGCACGTGAGGAGAAAAGTATGTTAGCCACTGTGCTCTTCACAGATAGTTTTGTCAGCTCACACAGACATCCCGTGCTCCCAGGGAACTGACAGGTACACATACAGATTTCTGTAAACAGGATGAATTGTATCGAGGGTGACTTTCAAGTCAGATCGAAACCCCTTTCGATAATACAATCCCCTTGCAAATTCCAAATTGCTTCCTGTACCTCACCAAATCTGTGATAGTGTTTTCAGAACACTTAGCTTGTGAAGGTGGGGTAAACCTATGGCCTACGGCTCCCACTTTAGGTAGAAATTACAGTGATTTCCATGAAAAGGAACTGAACATATCTATTAATTACGATCTTGTTTACACTTCAACAAAACCCACAATTACTTGTTTGTTTGAACCAAGTCCCCTTTATTTCCTTAGAGGCATCATTGCCTACCTAAGTGAGAAATTATGCACTTGAATTTCACACATACAGGTCATTTGTTCCCATGTTGCGCACATTTCTAGTTAGATACCAGTCTTACTTAAAATTCTGATAAAATGTCACTTACGGTCATGTTGCAGCAAGTTTTGTTAACAAATGTTTATCCTTCCAATAAAGTTACAGACAGAAACCTAATTATTGGAATCGGTGAGTTGTCTCCTGTTCGCAAACATTCATCAAACTCTATCTTCAGCAATAACAGATAGACCATTTGTTCATTCCCCTCGCGTCATTGAACTAATGTTTGTATTGTATGTGTTCTTCCTTATAGGAATCCCAACACCTGACCCCAGGATTCACCTTACAAAGTAGGTGTTTTTACAAAACTCCTTAATCCAAACTTCATGTCCTCCCCTCCCTCCCTTTCTGTGTTTTCCTTAACTAATACCATTAAAACATAGAATCACCATAACAAAACATTCATGCTGTGATACGTGCGTGCAAGTGGCTCCTTTTTGTAATCATCTGGTATTCATGGCAGGAAGCTGGGACAAAGCATAACTGGAAGGGCTGCATGTCTGAAGACCCATTTAATTGAGAATAATCACTTGGGTGTAGAAACTATGAGTAGTGACTGTGTGTGTCCTTTTCTTTCAGAGTGGAGCGACCCAACCAGCAGAGCTTCTACAAAGTCAGTATCATTCAGGTCGTGAGTACTTGGTTTCCAAAATAGGGTTCTTTAGAGGCATTTAGCAATGAAATGGTGCCTCAGTGCTGCAAATCTCGTTTTCTCCTCCTTGAAAATGAACCTTGACTCAATAGTATGGATTTTGGTTAGAAGGTGGGGTGACATTCCCCATGGTAAGTGTCTGTGAGTGAAAATGAATGAGATCATCATTAGGCTCTGATGGTATGGACGTAGGTTGGACCAATGCTCGAATACCTGGGATAGGAGAACAACCATGATCTTGGACTAGTTGTGTGAGCATCATACACCTCCAGCCATGGGCATCATTACATGCAGCACTCAGCCACCCTAGATGAGGGTAGAGATGGGACACGTCTAAGCTGTCATTGGAGGTGAGATGTTGAGCTCTGGGCACTTAGCCCCAGACCTCAGCATTCGCAAGCATCTGATGACTGTGTATTAAAGACAAATAGGTGCAGCTAGGGAGAGATGGGCAAAGAGATTACGTGCTCCTGGGTAGGAGTTCAGAAGCCAGGGCCTTGAAGTTCACTGAGCACTGTCTTCATTGTTGATTAATGTTAACCGAACGAGATGCGTGGAAGAATTCATTTTCTCAAAGTCACTGTCGGAGGTTTTGTATTCTCCATTTGTCCATGAGTGTGTTTAGGCAGTGCTTCTCTCACAACTTCTTGATTCCTAATAATAGGAAGTGAAAGTCAACTCCTTTGTGTAATAGTCACACACTTGAAAATTTTCCAAGTGAAATAATCTATGACATTCAAGTAGCTGAGCGGTGCACTCGAACTGAACAGCTCACCTCTTGGAAGCTCGTGAGTAATTGCATTAAACAACTGGGAATGACTCCCAGGTACTCCGAGGCTCTGAGAAAGCGCTGTTTCCACATTTTCCATTCTATTTAGCAGCAAAGCCCCCAAAGACCTGACCCCAGCACCATCCACTTACAGGTTTTCTGACCTGATCTGTGTCTTCTAATTTAAAGTTCAATTTCAACAGCCAAGAATTATCCATTTAAGGAAGCAGAAAAATATAAGGGGGGGTGGGGTGGTAAAACCATAACCTAGATTTAGGGACCAAATTACATGGAAACATGATAAATCAAAGTCATCTTTGGCGTTGTTCACTGCAGCTTCTCCACTAATCACATTTTGAATTGCCCTTCCTCTTGATATCTTAGTAGACAATAGATTGTCTCCTCCTCCCGTGCCTCACTTCTATTAAAAAAGCAGAATAATAGCATACATATTCTCAAGCATTTAATAAATCAGCACAGATTTCTAGACATGAAAAAGCATACTGATATTTTTCCCACTGTAAAATGATCTTGCTCCTAAAGCAAGAATATTCGGCTCCCGCTGTGAGGTATGCTCATTTCCATGTTTACCATGAAATGCAATATTCCAATACTTTGTAACTAACAGAAATAAACTCACCAATCATGGTGTATAGTCAGAGGTTGCATTTCCAGAGAGCAGCGGGTCCACAGTATGGGGGCATCCAGTGCATTCTATGGAATTAAGATTGTGGATCGGAAGCACCTATAACCCTAGCAGACACTGAGTCCATTTTATGAATGAGCTGCTGTCTTTCAAGCCACTTGATCTAAAGTCTAAGCCCTGTGCATCAGAATTCAGCTGGAATAAGCTTCTGGTGTGGTCTAGGCTTACACAGCACAGATCAGAATTATAATAACAGTTTTTATTACAAGTATTTACATTATCATCCATCATTAGCCATTACTGCCCTCTCATATTTCCCTATGAAGTGCTTTTTAAGCCAGCTTCTAGGGTTTTCCATTGGCAAGGCAGTCCTCCAGGAGATTATGAACTTTCAGAGTGCATACAGATCGCTGGTGCCCTGCTCAGTGGGGGACAGCCCGTGCTGCAAGAGAGACACCCTCCCAAGGCTGGTCGCTGTCAAAGGCATGCTCAGGCCACTTACCACGGTAGCAAGAGAACGGGGTATTAAGGGCCAGAATCCTTTAATTGCGAGGGTATTTTACTAGATGTCCCCCAACTCAGCCTCTTTGCCCTGGACAGTGACATATGATTCTTCCACTGGAGCCAGCCCATTTCTCAGGACTGTACACACCTTGGCGTGTCTGCAGACGCTGGCCCAGGGCATGCCTGAGTGCGCCACGAACGGCCAGCCTCAGTCTGCTCTGAACATGTTGTTCTCTCGGGGCTTGATCCCAGCAGGATGGCTGCAGTGTCCATCCGCAGGGTGACACCTGTCTCCTTCAGGGGCAACGCTGACTGCCTGTGATATGCAGAGCATTCCACTGGGCATGCTCAAGACCCGGGTTATGGCAGTTACATTTTGGGGAGAAAGCACTGACCTGGACCTTGAGGATGTGAGTGGACACCACAGGGGAAATTATTATTATTATTATTTTTTAAGATTTATTTTATTTGTGCATACAGAACTGGGGTACAGGCCAGAGGATCAGGGGCGGTGAGAGGCTTCACCAGAGACAGAGTGGGAGCAGAACAGGCAGATCGACGAAGTACACTGCTGAGGGGAGCAGCGGGCTGGTCAGGAGAGGTCTGCCACGCCATGTGGTCACCTCCGGGGCAGGCGGGAATCGAACTCATGAGGAAGCGGCTTTAGATTCTCCGTGCTGTGCTTTAACCCGCTGCGCCACCAGGGAGGGCCGGGGGGAAATTATTTTTATTTTGAAGTATACAAATAGCGCCCCTTAAGGGAAATAAGCAAATGAATCTACATCGATACACACATAGCAGGTACATCACAAATATTGGCCAGAATTGAAATCAGGTGTACTCTTTAGTAACGAAACAACTCTACAGAAGTACCTTTACCATTAACCCTTAGTTATTTCTGCAGCAAAGACGCCCGGACACTTTAGGGCTCCCACAGCCTCTGTGAGTCTGAGCTGTGCTATAGTCTTGGGACAGGCCTCACCCGGTTCTTCTAAATGCAAGGGAGGAGAAAACTGACACCAACCCTCAGAACTTGGATTTTCATTGTTGAGTCGGATTCCTGCCTCCACTTGACCATAGCATCCTGCCAAGTATTTGTATGACCTTTTGTATATGACAAAAGCATACGGCCATCCTACACAGAGGCAAGGAAGGTGAACCGACTTGACCTCAGTAAAGGTGGCACCTCCAAATATCTAGCTCCTTATTGCACTTGATTGGCAGCATTTGGAGTCTGTCCAGTTGGATACCATCCAGACCCCCCTTAAAATCAGACACTGCCTTTGTTTAAGCCATGTCGTCAAGAAGGCATCGTCTTCCTAAAAGCCAAAATAAAGGCAGAGGTAGCTCATATGGCCACCCTTCCCTGTCCATAAAACCCATGTCACCACTTATGGAACTAGTTACAGGCTTGAAATCATTCCCACTGTGGACCCGAGAGTTGGTAAATGGCTTACAGAGACAGACTCGTGGTGACCAGCCTCAGTTTCCCTGTGGGCAGTGGCTATGCAGGCCATATGAACAAGTCCTTGAACATAGCCCTAGTAAGGTGGGAAAGAAACTATACTAGCACAGGGAGGTCAGACGCTTCCCATCATAATGCTTGTGCTGTTGGGCGCATGTGCCAAGTGAGATTCCAGGCCCCATAGCCTGGTGCTTGCCAACCATCCTGGAAGCCGTCTCCAAGTGGCTCCCATTTTACAGATGAGAAAAGGCAAAGCTAGAATGCAGTTATTCCTCACGAGGTCTGCACAGCCCAGTGGGAAGGCACGAGCACTTGCTTCAAGCGAACATATTACTGTGTATGCAGTTCCGGCAAGTGAATGGCTCCTTGGTGGGAAGCTTGGAAGCAGGCTGAGGGCTCAGAGCCCTTGCCTCCCACTTGGCTGCCCTTCCCCATGGCGTCTGATGGGTTTAGAGATTTATTATACCAAATGGGACCTGTTGTACCCAGGCGCTATCTGCACCCTGCATAAAGACACATCTAGACCTGAAGTTGGTGGTGGGAAGACCCATCATAGATGATACGAAACTAGGTCAATGTTGCTTAATTTAACTAATATACCTATTTTTGAACTTCTCTATGTGCTATGAAGACTTTAGTACCACAGAGAATAGAATGGTTATTCGAATGCTTTTGAGTTTGCTATAACCAGTAACAAGCATTACATTATGTCTTAGATGAACCAAAAAGAAATTAACCACAGAATTCCCTCACATCCTTTACAACACGGACCATCTTTATACCACAGTGTTCATCATGAAAACATCAAAAGTGTTTCCTTTGAGAATCCGATTTGTGATTTGAGAACTGCCATGTGTTATTGCAGGCAATATTACAGATCTCTAGCAATTTCATATATTTGTCCAAAAGCCGATATTTTTGCTCTGCAACTTATATGCCATTTTGCTGGCAAAATAACTGGGTAACGAGGCAGAGGGAAAGCTGACTATTATGTTCTTAATCAAATCACTCCTGAATAAGAATGCAGGAGTCTGTACTTGGAACTTAGAAATGCTACTACTCAGATTTGGCTTACAGAAGTCCAAGTAAACTCTCTGGATAATCTGGTCACCTCAGACATGTGAGTTAGTTGCAGCCCTTCTGCTTTGAAAGTGAGATGTATGCCAACTCCTGCTTTTAACCTGTTTTTACTCCCTGCATCTCAGAGCTTGCCAACTTTTCCTAAGGACTTAATATATTTTTGGAAGTTCTCCACTGCATCAGGGACAGCCACCTGGGAGCAGAGAAAACAAAATTTGGCAGCCTATTCAAGCTGTGAATTAAAGGTAATTCACAGTTTGAAATGAATCAGCATGAGGTCCTTAAGAAGAGTAATCAGACATCAAGAGGATTTTATTTTGAGGATTGTATATTGGCTAATGTGACAACAAGCAATATTGGCATTTGGAATGTTCGCATCAAGAAGCGCTGAAGCTGCTGGTGCTTGATGGGCTCCAAGACTGAATACTCAGGCTCCTTCAGTGGGAGCTGTGGAGTTCCGTTTCATTACAAACGCTGAAAACATACATGTTTGCTCA